TCCCCCTGGAGCCTTTTCTTTTACAATGGTTTACAGTTGCATATATCACTTCCTTGTGCCACGTCCAGCAACTGACTGTCCAATAACGTGGCGTTTTGCTATTCTTTTCATGATGAGAACTTTCCTTTCTTTTTCATATTTAACATAGGCTGTCACTATTTCCAGCAGAAGTACACCAGTGTTGGGACATGTGTCGCAATTGTGTGGATTATTTGATTGACCTTTCACATGCATCTCAAAGAAAGAAGAACGATTTTCTTTCACGCTCCTGCAAAAGCCAGTTGATAAATAAATGGGTTATAGACTATTGTAGTTTAGCGTATCCCAACGGCTCTATAGCTCAGTTGGTTAGAGCGTCTGCCTAGTAAGTAGAAGGTCGAGGGTTCGACTCCCCCTGGAGCCTTTTCTTTTACAATGGTTTACAGTTGCATATATCACTTCCTTGTGCCACGTCCAGCAACTGACTGTCCAATAACGTGGCCTTTTGTTATCCTTTTCATGATGAAAACTTTCCTTTCTTTTTTCATATTAAACATTGGCTGTCACTATTTCAAGCAGAAGTACACCAGTGTTGGGACATGTGTCGCAATTGTGTGGATTATTTGATTGACCTGTCACATGCATCTCAAAGAAAGAGGAACGATTTTCTTTCACGCTCCTGCAAAAGCCAGTTGATAAATAAATGGGTTATAGACTATTGTAGTTTAGCCTATCCCAACGGCTCTATAGCTCAGTTGGTTAGAGCGTCTGCCTAGTAAGCAGAAGGTCGAGGGTTCGACTCCCCCTGGAGCCTTTTCTTTTACAATGGTTTACAGTTGCATATATCACTTCCTTGTGCCACGTCCAGCAACTGAGTGTCCAATAACGTGGCCTTTTGCTATCCTTTTCATGATGAGAACTTTCCTTTCTTTTTCATATTTAACATAGGCTGTCACTATTTCCAGCAGAAGTACACCAGTGTTGGGACATGTGTCGCAATTGTGTGGATTATTTGATTGACCTGTCACATGCATCTCAAAGAAAGAAGAACGATTTTCTTTCACGCTCCTGCAAAAGCCAGTTGATAAATAAATGGGTTATAGACTATTGTAGTTTAGCGTATCCCAACGGCTCTATAGCTCAGTTGGTTAGAGCGTCTGCCTAGTAAGCAGAAGGTCGAGGGTTCGACTCCCCCTGGAGCCTTTTCTTTTACAATGGTTTACAGTTGCATATATCACTTCCTTGTGCCACGTCCAGCAACTGACTGTCCAATAACGTGGCATTTTGCTATTCTTTTCATGATGAGAACTTCCTTTTCTTTTTCATATTAAACATTGGCTATCACTATTTCCAGCAGAAGTACACCAGTGTTGGGACATGTGTCGCAATTGTGTGGATTATTTGATTGACCTGTCACATGCATCTCAAAGAAAGAAGAACGATTTTCTTTCACGCTCCTGCAAAAGTCAGTTGATAAATAAATGGGTTATAGACTACTGTAGTTTAGCGTATCCCAACGGCTCTATAGCTCAGTTGGTTAGACTGTCTGCCTAGTAAGCAGAAGGTCGAGGGTTCGACTCCCCCTGGAGCCTTTTCTTTTACAATGGTTTACAGTTGCATATATCACTTCCTTGTGCCACGTCCAGCAACTGACTGTCCAATAACGTGGCCTTTTGCTATCCTTTTCATGATGAGAACTTTCCTTTCTTTTTCATATTTAACATAGGCTGTCACTATTTCCAGCAGAAGTACACCAGTGTTGGGACATGTGTCGCAATTGTTTGGATTATTTGATTGACCTGTCACATGCATCTCAAAGAAAGAAGAACGATTTTCTTTCACGCTCCTGCAAAAGCCAGTTGATAAATAAATGGGTTATAGACTATTGTAGTTTAGCCTATCCCAACGGCTCTATAGCTCAGTTGGTTAGAGCGTCTGCCTAGTAAGCAGAAGGTCGAGGGTTCGACTCCCCCTGGAGCCTTTTCTTTTACAATGGTTTACAGTTGCATATATCACTTCCTTGTGCCACGTCCAGCAACTGACTGTCCAATAACGTTGCTTTTTGCAATCCTTTTCATGATGAAAACTTTCCTTTCTTTTTCATATTTAACATTGGCTGTCACTATTTCAAGCAGAAGTACACCAGTGTTGGGACATGTGTCGCAATTGTGTGGATTATTTGATTGACCTGTCACATGCATCTCAAAGAAAGAGGAACGATTTTCTTTCACGCTCCTGCAAAAGCCAGTTGATTAATAAATGGGTTATAGACTATTGTAGTTTAGCCTATCCCAACGGCTCTATAGCTCAGTTTGGTTAGAGCGTCTGCCTAGTAAGCAGAAGGTCGAGGGTTCGACTCCCCCTGGAGCCTTTTTCTTTTACAATGGTTTACAGTTGCATATATCACTTCCTTGTGCCACGTCCAGCAACTGACTGTCCAATTATATGGCCTTTTGCTATCCTTTTCATGATAAGAACTTTCCTTTCTTTTTCATATTTAACATTGGCTGTCACTATTTCCAGCAGAAGTACACCAGTGTTGGGACATGTGTCGCAATTGTGTGGATTATTTGATTGACCTGTCACATGCATCTCAAAGAAAGAAGAACGATTTTCTTTCACGCTCCTGCAAAAGCCAGTTGATAAATAAATGGGTTATAGACTATTGTAGTTTAACGTATCCCAACGGCTCTATAGCTCAGTTGGTTAGAGCGTCTGCCTAGTAAGCAGAAGGTCGAGGGTTCGCCTCCCCCTGGAGCCTTTTCTTTTACAATGGTTTACAGTTGCATATATCACTTCCTTGTGCCACGTCCAGCAACTGACTGTCCAATAACTTGGCTTTTTGCTATTCTTTTCATGATGAGAACTTTCCTTTCTTTTTCATATTAAACATTGGCTGTCACTATTTCAAGCAGAAGTACACCAGTGTTGGGACATGTGTCGCAATTGTGTGGATTATTTGATTGACCTGTCACATGCATCTCAAAGAAAGAAGAACAATTTTCTTTCACGCTCCTGCAAAAGCCAGTTGATAAATAAATGGGTTATAGACTATTGTAGTTTAACGTATCCCAACGGCTCTATAGCTCAGTTGGTTAGAGCGTCTGCCTAGTAAGCAGAAGGTCTAGGGTTCGACTCCCCCTGGAGCCTTTGCTTTTACAATGGTTTACAGTTGCATATATCACTTCCTTGTGCCACGTCCAGCAACTGACTGTCCAATAACGTGGCCTTTTGCTATTCTTTTCATGATGAGAACTTCCCTTTCTTTTTCATATTTAACATTGGCTGTCACTATTTCAAGCAGAAGTACACCAGTGTTGGGACATGTGTCGCAATTGTGTGGATTATTTGATTGACCTTTCACATGCATCTCAAAGAAAGAAGAACGATTTTCTTTCACGCTCCTGCAAAAGTCAGTTGATAAATAAATGGGTTATAGACTATTGTAGTTTAGCGTATCCCAACGGCTCTATAGCTCAGTTGGTTAGAGCGTCTGCCTAGTAAGCAGAAGGTCGAGGGTTCGACTCCCCCTGGAGCCTTTTCTTTTACAATGGTTTACAGTTGCATATATCACTTCCTTGTGCCACGTCCAGCAAATGACTGTCCAATAACGTTGCTTTTTGCAATCCTTTTCATGATGAAAACTTTCCTTTCTTTTTCATATTTAACATTGGCTGTCACTATTTCCAGCAGAAGTACACCAGTGTTGGGACATGTGTCGCAATTGTGTGGATTATTTGATTGACCTGTCACATGCATCTCAAAGAAAGAAGAACGATTTTCTTTCACGCTCCTGCAAAAGCCAGTTGATAAATAAATGGGTTATAGACTATTGTAGTTTAACGTATCCCAACGGCTCTATAGCTCAGTTGGTTAGAGCGTCTGCCTAGTAAGCAGAAGGTCGAGGGTTCGACTCCCCCTGGAGCCTTTTCTTTTACAATGGTTTACAGTTGCATATATCACTTCCTTGTGCCACGTCCAGCAACTGACTGTCCAATAACGTGGCCTTTTGCTATTCTTTTCATGATGAGTACTTCCCTTTCTTTTTCATATTTAACATTGGCTGTCACTATTTCAAGCAGAAGTACACCGGTGTTGGGACATGTGTCGCAATTGTGTGGATTATTTGATTGACCTGTCAGATGCATCTCAAAGAAAGAAGAACGATTTTCTTTCACGCTCCTGCAAAAGCCAGTTGATAAATAAATGGGTTATAGACTATTGTAGTTTAGCCTATCCCAACGGCTCTATAGCTCAGTTGGTTAGAGCGTCTGCCTAGTAAGCAGAAGGTCGAGGGTTCGACTCCCCCTGGAGCCTTTTCTTGTACAATGGTTTGCAGTTGCATATATCACTTCCTTGTGCCACGTCCAGCAACTGACTGTCCAATAACGTGGCCTTTTGCTATTCTTTTCATGATGAGAACTTTCCTTTCTTTTTCATATTTAACATTGGCTGTCACTATTTCCAGCAGAAGTACACCAGTGTTGGGACATGTTTCGCAATAGTGTGCATTATTTGATTGGCCTGTCACATGCATCTCAAAGAGAGAGGAACGATTTTCTTTCACGTTCCTGCAAAAGCCAGTTCATAAATAAATGGGTTATAGACTACTGTAGTTTAGCCTATCTCAACGGCTCTATAGCTCAGTTGGTTAGAGTGTCTGCCTAGTAAGCAGAAGGTCGAGGGTTCGACTCCCCCTGGAGCCTTTTCTTTTACAATGGTTTACAGTTGCATATATCACTTCCTTGTGCCACGTACAGCAACTGACTGTCCAATAACGTGGCCTTTTGCTATTCTTTTCATGATGAGAACTTTCCTTTCTTTTTCATATTTAACATTGGCTGTCTCTATTTCAAGCAGAATTACACACGTGTTGGGACATGTTTCGCAATAGTGTGGATTATTTGATTGACCTGTCACATGCATCTGAAAGAGAGAGGAACGATTTTCTTTCACGCTCCTGCAAAAGCCAGTTGATAAATAAATGGGTTATAGACTATTGTAGTTTAGCCTATCCGAACGGCTCTATAGCTCATTTTGGTTAGAGCGTCTGCCTAGTAAGCAGAAGGTCGAGGGTTCGACTCCCCCTGGAGCCTTTTCTTGTACAATGGTTTGCAGTTGCATATATCACTTCCTTGTGCCACGTCCAGCAACTGACTGTCCAATAACGTGGCCTTTTGCTATTCTTTTCATGATGAGAACTTTCCTTTCTTTTTCACATTTAACATTTGCTGTCACTATTTCAAGCAGAATTACACCGGCGTTAGGACATGTTTCGCAATAGTGTGCATTATTTGATTGGCCTTTTGTTATCCTTTTCATGATGAGAACTTTCCTTTCTTTTTCATATTTAGGATTGGCTGTCACTATTTCAAGCAGAAGTACACCAGTGTTGGGACATGTGTCGCAATTGTGTGCATTATTTGATTGGTGTGTCACATGCATCTCAAAGAGAGAGGAACGATTTTCTTTCACGTTCCTGCAAAAGACCAGTTTGTAAATAAATGGAGTATAGACTACTGTAGTTTAGCCTCCCACAACGGCTCTGTAGCTCAGTTGGTTAGAGCGTCTGCCTAGTAAGCAGAAGGTCGAGGGTTCGACTCCCCCTGGAGCCTTTTCTTTTACAATGGTTTACAGTTGCATATATCACTTCCTTGTGCCACGTCCAGCAACTGACTGTCCAATAACGTGGCCTTTTGCTATTCTTTTCATGATGAGAACTTCCCTTTCTTTTTCATATTTAACATTGGCTGTCACTATTTCAAGCAGAATTACGCTGGTGTTAGAACATGTGTCGCAATTGGGTCATATGCATCTCAAAGAGAGAGGAACGATTTTCCTTCGCGCCCCTGCAAAAGCCAGTTGGTAAATAAATGGAGTATAGACTACTGTAGTTTAACGTATCCCAACGGCTCTATAGCTCAGTTGGTTAGAGCGTCTGCCTAGTAAGCAGAAGGTCGAGGGTTCGACTCCCCCTGGAGCCTTTTCTTTTACAATGGTTTACAGTTGCATATATCACTTCCTTGTGCCACGTCCAGCAACTGACTGTCCAATAACGTGGCCTTTTGCTATCCTTTCTATGATGAGAACTTCCCTTTCTTTTTCACATTTAACATTTGCTGTCACTATTTCAAGCAGAATTACACCGGTGTTAGAACATGTGTCGCAATTGGGTCATATGCATCTTAAAGAGAGAGGAACGATTTTCCTTCGCGCGCCTGCAAAAGCCAGTTGGTAAATAAATGAAAAAATGTTTCACTTTGAGCACCTTGTTTTCTTTAAATACGATGTACCTTGACATTATAAAGTGGTTTATAGGTAGATATAATACTTATCTATAGATGTAAGCAATTTTGAAGATACGTCTGTGTGTTTAAAGTTGATTTTGACCGCCCGGGCCAAGTCGGACCGAAGACTTCTTACAGAGATTTTCTTAAGAAAATACAGTAGAAAGGTTTTACTTTGAGCCCCTTGTTTTCTTTAAATACGATGTACCGTGACATTATAAAGTAGTAAATAGGTAGATATAACACTAATCTCTAGATGTAAACACATTTAATGATACGTCTGTGTGTTTAAAGTTGATTTTGACCGCACGGGCCAAGTCGGACCCAACACAAGCAAAACACTTCTGATAGAGACTATGTTGAGAATGTAGAGGGAAAAGGGCTTCACTTTGAGCACCTCGTTTTCTTTCATTACAGCGATCTGAGACACTATAAAGTGGTATTTAGGTGGATATAATACTAATCTATAGATGTGAATCCATTTGATGATACATCTGTGAGGTTTAAGTTGATTTTGACAGCCCGGGCCAAGTCGGCCCGAACACTTCTTACAGAGATTTTCTTAAGAAAATAGAGTAGAAATGTTTCAGTTTGAGCACCTTGTTTTCTTTAAATACGATGTACCGTGACATTATAAAGTGATATATAGGTAGATATAACACTAATCTATAGATGTAAACACATCTGAAGATACGTATGTGTGTTTAAAGTTGATTTTGACCGCCCGGGCCAAGTCGGACCTAACACTTCTTACAGAGATTTTCTTAAGAAAATAGAGTAGAAATGTTTCACTTTGAGCACCTTGTTTTCTTTAAATACGATGTACCGTGACATTATAAAGTGGTATATAGGTAGATATAACACTAATCTATAGATGTAAACACATTTGAAGATACGTCTGTGTGTTTAAAGTTGATTTTGACCGCCCGGGCCAAGTCGGACCTAACACTTCTTACAGAGATTTTCTTAAGAAAATAGAGTAGAAATGTTTCACTTTGAGCACCTTGTTTTCTTTAAATACGATGTACCGTGACATTATAAAGTGGTATATAGGTAGATATAACACTAATCTATAGATGTAAACACATTTGATGATACGTCTTTGTGTTTAAAGTTGATTTTGACCGCCCGGGCCAAGTCGGACCCAACACAAGCAAAACACTTCTGTTAGAGACTATGTTGAGAATGTAAAGGGTAAAGGGCTTCACTTTGAGCCCCTTCTTTTCTTTAAATACGATGTACCGTGACATTATAAAGTAGTAAATAAGTAGATATAACACTAATCTATAGATGTAAACACATTTGAAGATACGTCTTTATGTTTAAAGTTGATTTTGACCGCCCGGGCCAAGTCGGACCCAACACAAGCAAAACACTTCTGTTAGAGACTATGTTGAGAATGTAAAGGGGAAAGGGCTTCACTTTGAGCCCCTTCTTTTCTTTAAATACGATGTACCGTGACATTATAAAGTAGTATATAGGTAGATATAACACTAATCTATAGATGTAAACACATTTGAAGATACGTCTGTGTGTTTAAAGTTGATTTTGACCGCCCGGGCCAAGTCGGACCCAACACTTCTTACAGAGATTTTCTTACGAAAATACAGTAGAAATGTTTCACTTTGAGCACCTTGTTTTCTTTAAATACGATGTACCGTGACATTATAAAGTGATATATAGGTAGATATAACACTAATCTATAGATGTAAACACATTTGATGATACGTCTTTGTGTTTAAAGTTGATTTTGACCTCCCGGGCCAAGTCGGACCCAACACAAGCAAAACACTTCTGTTAGAGACTATGTTGAGAATGTAAAGGGGAAAGGGCTTCACTTTGGGCCCCTTCTTTTCTTTTAATACGATGTACCGTGACATTATGAAATAATAAATAAGTAGATATAACACTAATCTATAGATGTAAACATATTTGAAGGTACGTCTTTATGTTTAAAGTTGATTTTGACCGCACGGGCCAAGTCGGACCCAACACAAGCAAAACACTTCTGATAGAGACTATGTTGAGAATGTAGAGGGAAAAGGGCTTCACTTTCAGCACCTTGTTTTCTTTAATTGCAGCGATCTGAGACACTATAAAGTGGTATTTAGGTGGATATAATACTAATCTATAGATGTGAATCCATTTGATGATACATCTGTGAGATTTGAGATGATTTAGACAGCCCTGGCCAAGTCGGACCCAACACTTCTGACATAGATTTTCTTAAGAAAATACAGTAGAAATGCTTCACTTTGAGCACCTTGTTTTCTTTAAATACGATGTACCGTGACATTATAAAGTGGTTTATAGTTAGATATAACACTAATCTATAGATGTGAATCCATTTGAGGATACATCTGTGAGGTTTAAGTTGATTTTGAGAGCCCGGGCCAAGTCGGACCCAACACATTTCTGACATAGATTTTCTTAAGAAAATACAGTGAAAATACTTCCCTTTGAGCACCTTGTTTTCTTTAAATACGATGTACCGTGACATTATAAAGTGGTATATAGGTAGATATAACACTAATCTATAGATGTAAACACATTTGAAGATACATTTAAAGTTGATTTTGACTGCTCGGGCCAAGTCGGACCCAACACAAGCAAAACACTTCTGATAGAGAGAATGTAAAGGGAAAAGGGCTTCACTTTTGAGCACCGTGTTTGCTACTGCAATATGAGACACTAAAGTGTTATATAGGTAGATATGATATTATAATTAGTCGATAGATGTAAAGTATGTGTTGTAATTTTAGAAGCGCTTTGACAGTTATTAAAACGTGTCGTGTCATTCCTATGACATTCGTGAATATCCACTTGCAGAAAACATCCTGTGTTGGTTTAACATGAATTAGTAAAGGTTAATTAGGTATGCCAAACACGTTAATTAATGAAAGAAGAGTAGTCAAAACACTGTCATTTCGAATTCCTGCCCAGGACATCACACCCCTACACGCTAAGGTCGGTGAGAAACCTTCTCATCAAAGTAAAGACACAGTCAAGACACTGACTTTTCGGTATGCACTCTCGGTATGTAGCTATAACTATCAGTTTATTACATTGCTGAAGATACATTTTGATTCAAACTCAATGAAATGAGCAAAACTATCCGTTTCTGGACATTTGAGATCTGCCTAGATATGCAGGTTTCGTTTTATTATTCTGCAATCCGTTTTTAGTATTACCCGCTGGCCCGGCCCGGCCCGACTTCTCTTGGCCCGACTATAAGGCAATCCCCCAAGGCTCGCTAAATACAATGTTTATTCCTAATGCAGGATATTTACCATCCCCAAACACACTCGCGTGATAACCTCTATTGATCTGTACGAACAGGTGATAAATATTTTAGGTGACTGAAATAGCCACCTGTTTCAAAACGATACATATTCATGTATTATAGTACCAAAAGAACATTCATATTTAATATTGTAAAAGCATTTTCGTCCACTGGTTATGTTTAAGTGTTGTTACGATAATAATAACTCAATTAAAGACAATGAAAATACGTGGCCTTATGTTTCCTGTCATTCATGTTTCATTTACCATATGCATGTTAACTTTTCATAATTGGTATGCTAGCTAGATTAAGTTTAGACAGCATTACAACAATACTTTAGTACCCATGTTTCCATCTGTTAATAATAAAGTATGTAATTGGCTGAAATCAAGATTCAAGGTCATTATTTAAAGCAGAAGTATTTTATTCAGGTGTCTACTTTAAACGCAATTGGTACTAATAAACGGACAGCATATCAACTCACACATAGCATTTGTTACTTATGACCTACATTGGCACCAGACATTGGAGCAGGCCTCCGTTCAATAGGCCGAGGAGTTTTCTGAGATGCTTTCTCGGCTCTCTCCGTGGACGTTCGGGTGCTAACGAACGCTGTGTCAACTTCCGCCGGCAGGGGCGCGGTTTTCAAAATGGCGTTGCAGACTGATTTAAGTAATGTTGAACTGTTGAACATTGTGTATATAAAGTATTATTGTTAATAATAAAGATAAACTAAGTTGTATATGTTATATCTTCTTATCCACAAGTTGCCACCGAACAGTTAGGTTAGGTTATTTGTTGTTAAACGCCGCACTCAGGACTATTCAAGCTAAATGACGGCGGTCTTTAAATAATCGAGTCTGGACCAGACAATCCAGTGATTGACATCATGAGCATCGATCCACGCAATTGGGATACGATGACATGCATCAACCAAGTCAGAGAGTCTGACCACCCGATCCTGTTAGTCGCCTCTTACAACAAGTATAGTCGTCTTTTACGGCAAGTAAGGGTTGCTGAAGACCTATTCTACGCCGGATCATCACGGATCCCACCGAACAGTGATTGCGTATCATATATCTTATTCCCTAAGCAATCCATATTTATTTAATTTCAGTATGTTCTGGACAGTTATCAAGGTGAATAAATTAAATACATCGGATGAGACATATCACGATGTTGTCAAAACGGCAGGAAAAACGTCTCATAAATCACGTCAAAATAATTTATTACCCATGGGGGTTACAAATAACCGAGTTATTAAATAACGTATGTGTACTGGTGCAATATCGTTCACACACTCTGGTATATTGTTTGCGTCATCCGGACGGCATTGTTGGCGTAATTCCAATCTTATTCTGACACTAGAAATGACGTCCTGGCTGAAGAGGTCATTCAACGGGAGTCAACAAACAAAACAACAAACCAAAACACCAACAAATTACAATGTTTTAGATTTATTTAAGAAAAGACAAACACCTATGAAAATGTATGAATTTACCTGTTTCTAAATGTAGCTAAAACAATTGGGTTTTACAAGTCTTCCCATAAATGTAATCACTAATGTGTAGGTATTAAACTTTACCATTGAGTGCATGTATCTGTAACAAGTTCTCCCATGTCGAAAATGTAATGTTCACAGGCCCCGCATTTGTCCAAATCCTCCATTTTTGTCCCTACTCCTCAGTATGCGCCGAGGCGCTGGAAAGCGAGCACGGCATGCGTTTCATTGACTTGGAAATATTCGGAGAAACTCGTTTGCGCATCGGCACCCAACGGCTTATTGAACGCACCTGCGGTCTAACTTCACTAGCTTTAAAACAGGTGGTGGGGTGAAATGGTGCACATGTGTTTAAGGCTACTGCACTGCAACATGTGTGATGTGTGTGTGCCATTCTATAGTACCAACTCACTGAGATACCCCACTCACACACAGTGTACTGACTGACACAGTATACTAAACAATCCTTGATTTATCCCACTAATGCCGGGCGACAGGATGGGTTACAAGAACAATCTTATTTTCTTCCAGTTTAATGCCATCACTTTAGGCTTGGTACTTGCATGTTGTTTGAGGTTGTAGTACGCATGCCTTTGCCTGAACCAAAGGTAATGGCATCAGGTTGAATATGCATGATGGTGTTCATAATTTCTGAGACCTTGAGGAAAATGCGCTGAACGGGCTGCTTCTGTTTTTGCAAGAAGTTGCAAATGCTTTCTTGAATAAGTCTAACATAATAGTTTTTAGAAACGGTGGTTACTTACGCAGTGTAGAAAGTGGCTGTATTCAGGAGTTCAAATGAAAACTGTAACCTATCATAAATATCTAGGTATTATTTTCTCAGAGATTAGTGTGGTCAAGCGCTTGTGAAACCCTATCTATTCAACCCAGAAAGGCTAGCATGCCTATTCATAGACTATTGAGGAGTTATACAAATTTACCTTTTCATGCTTTTCAAACAATATTTGATACTAAGATATGACTAATTTTAGTGTGTGGTGCAGAAATCAAGGGATTCACTTTAAGGGAGGCCTTAGTCTCGGTGTTTCCAAACGGTCCTCAAGTAATGTCGTTATGGGGTATGTTGGAAGGAGTCACTTATGTGTCCATTTTTATAGTCGTTGCATAGGTTATTGGTGTAGACTTCCACTTATGGAACATTTAAAAGTATAGATACCCAAAGGCATGTTACCAGATGCTGAAACGCTTTGATGATAATGGGAAAATAAACTGGGTCTCTCATATATTAGTACCTAAATTAATGTTCAAGAAGGGTTTTTCATGTCTGGCTTACTCAAGATATATCTTAATATATTCAAGCAAAGATGTAAGGATATCATCTGGCTTACTCAAGTTATATAGAGGTTATCGCGCGAGTGTGTTTGGGGATGGTAAATATCCTGCATTAGGAATAAATATTGTATTTAGCGAGCCTTGGCGAGCTTAATACATAGTGTTTATTCCTAATACAGGATATTTACCATCCCCAAACACACAAGCGTGATAACCTTTTTATCATATGATGTCATTCTTTAATTCTTTGCTTGAAAATCGCTTTCCCTCTCTCACAAACATTACCGAAACATTGCGAGTTTTCCTGGAATGCGCGCATTAATATTTATTACGTGACAGGGTAAGTGATGTGTCAGTCGGACAGTGACAGTAGCCAATATAGTTCCAACTGAAATCTGTTTCTTATACAGTGGCGAAGCAACATATACGCAAAACAACAATTGTTTTTAATTGCCTTTCGCGGCAATCCATCGGTCTGTCCGCTAGAGTAACTGCCCTTTGTCAAAGGGAAGCTACTCTAACCCTAGTCTATGAGACGTCACGGCCACGGTCAGACCTTGTTGACAGTCGGTCTGTCCTGTCATAACGTAAGAAGTGTAGTCAGATGTACACACAGCGACAAAACGAAACAAGGTAATAATTCAAACATATTTCGGCCAAATCCAACTATTTTAATTTGTGGAGAAGGTTTCAAGCCGCAGAGGTCTACAAGCACAGATATGGCTACTGATCCCGCTTGGTTAGGCCTCGTGCCCTCGCAAAACTGTTTCGAAATTTATATCTCCAAACTTGCCAAAACTTATAAAATGCCTTAGTTACGTCACAGTTAGACACTGATTTTCAGTATTTTAGACTGTTCTTTTGATAATGATAGCAATTATGCCTGTAGTTTATCCAGATTCCCGATGGTTAATTCTGACTCGATCGCCGAATGACGAGGGCGACGCCATGTTTGTTAATAAACAGTAAAAGCAGTCCCTACTTGACCTTTGATATTTGCATCTCTATCCGCATATGACCCCAACGGATATCGTATTTATCCGTTGGCTTTATCCTGCCGAGAAACCTACCCATTATATGATAAATCTTAATATGTTCAAGCAAAGATGTAGGGATATCGTATCAGAATTGGCATGACAAGATTTCAAGATCTTCCTTTTTGAATTTGTATAGTGGTTATAAGTTTTCTAGAAGTTGAAAAATATGTAAAACTGAATTATCTAATTGTAAGGATTCACTGCGATTATTTTGTAGGTTTCGTTCGTTGTCCGATAAGTTGAAAAGATTTAAGATGCAAATTGATCTGAAAATGTTGTTATGCACACATTGTAATGTCAATTGTACTGAAGACGGGTTCCATTTACTCCTTGTATCTCCCCATCATGTCAAGCAAAGAAAACTTTATACCACTTGATTATACCTATCCTAGTAGAGATATGTCTTACACCTAAATGGAATTTACATATATAACTATTGGGAAGTGTAATTACATGAAATGTGCCCATAAACGTGTGTTATTTGTGTATCATAATGAATATCAACCCACTGTAAATGATTTGTATATGTGCGCAGTACTTTGGGCCAAAGGTCTGCAATATAAATAAACCTGTCACTTGCACATGCTTTTCTACTTTGCATAATAGAATAACAAAATATGATTCAGTAAACAGTAACAACAGGGATATTTATTCATGTATTTACAACAATGTTCTTTCATGCAATACATATGGTGGATGAATGTTGATGAGGATGCTGACCTGATATTTACAACAGAAAATTCCATGAATTACTTGTATGATGTGTGAAATTCAGAAGCTTAGCTAGATCTACCATTCTTGAATTAGCACTATGTCATTTTGATGAAACATGAAATGCACTTCTATAAAAGATGACAAAGGAATCCTTGGAAATAATACCATCTTGCTAATCTAATTGTTCATATTAATGACACTGATGTAATAACACTGTGAGACAATAATCTTTAAATAATTCGCCTTTTTCATCATGTACAGCAAGGGCAAAATGCCTGCAAGTTCAGGTTCAAAATATTCCGCACACATGTATGGACACAGGAACCAAATTTCATGATTTGTGATGTCATTACTGCATGGCAACTAAGTATGGACATGGGGTTGCCAAGCAACTAAAAAACAATTTGTTCACCAGGTCTGTCAGGTGGCAACAAAACCTTTCATTTATTGTCCAGAATTACTCTTCCACTTTGCACACACATATATTTCAATTTGCCTAATCCTTCATTTTCTTCATCTTTTCTGGTCTGAAAACATTAAAACATTGATTAGTTAATATATCTGGGTAAATATTATTTTAATAAGATATTTCTTTTTCAGTAGAAAAATCTGTCAAATTAAACCTCTTGTAATCATTTATTCACATTGCATGGCTACTGCTTGGTTTGCAAGTAAGGGGCATCAGTATTAAGCAGTAAGCCTAGGTAAACAAGACGTCAACAGTTACAGATACAATAGTTTGTAAACGTCAGAACCTTCAAATGCAGATCTTTCAGTACTTGGTGGAATAGAAAGGCATTTACGGAATGTCCCTTTCAAAAGTTTAGTCATTGTAAGGCAACACATTTAATTACCTTCCTCTAAGAATGAACTTAAGAGAGCAGACAGCTCAGGCGAACATGAAACAACTGAGGAAGCATCAGTGGCTGACACACCCTCCCCTGTTTGTGATGAGGCTGCTGATTGGCTGCCCTCACTTTCACCTGGCTGTATCCTTGTCTCACATTGGCTACTGCCACCCATAGAGGTTGCAGAGCTTGCTTCAGATTGGCTAACAAAGATTCGGGTTTGACCTGGTCGTTGGGCAGGAATAGGGAATAAGTACAAATTCAAATCAGGAGAATCATTCAGTTCAAGTCCAGAAACAGTGCTAGGGCTAGTGACAGCTAATGCTATGTATACAAACATATTGAACAACTGAAGCATGAATTTCCGTCCCACTGAAACACAAGAAGCGGGGATATGAGGACACACAAGGCAAGCAAGGGGGGAGGTCTCAAGCAGCATCCACAGGGGTTAAAAGTATGCTTCCATCAATGGGGATCTCATGCCCTGCGATGACAGGTTAAACATAGCATAGGTTTATATGGCTATTAATCACTACACACGTTCTATTATTACAATGTTATTTCGTCATGATAGTAATACAGATACAGAGTGAAAAGAATGTAGAATGAAAGTCTTAAATGAGTGGTCATTTAAGTTACTAAATGCTATTGCTCATTTGATCTAGTGGTGTAATGATACGGCAATACAGTATTGTCTCACGATACGAGGCCCACGAAACAATTCATCGATTTTCAAACCCTCTATCACCATACATACTATACATTACCTTACAAGTTATCTTTGCAAAAAACACACATGGTTGTTCAACAACCAGCTAATGCAGATTCTCTAGCATTTCCCCGTTTGGCTATATTTGGGACAACATTTACAGTGCCCTCTGGCCTATATGTTTCTGCCCTACAATATCCCATTTTGATCTCTGAAATTTTAAACATGATTCATGTATGTGATTCACATGCAAAAAGAAAGAATATAATCTTTTGAAACAAAAGTGCTGTATCGGGATACGAATCATATCGCATCCATAGTATTGGGATATGTATCGTATCGCGACCCCTTCATATCGTTACACCTCTAATTTGATCATGTATCAAAACAACCCATGATCCTCAACAAATATTCAAGTAGAAAGGAAAGCAATTAGTATTTCAAAGTAAAGGGCTTACCACCACCACCACAAAACACACAATTAACATGAATGAGTGAGAGAATGAGATTCTACATCAACCTGTTTCTGTTGTTAGTGAGTTGGGTTTATGGCTGCTTGAAAAGTATATTGCATATATCTTGGCGTGTTAGCTAAGTCTTAGATAATTGCCTCGGCCACTTGTAGGGTGTTAACCAGGCATGTCATTCAAGGGTGACAAAAAAGATTGAATAGCCAGTAATTTCTAAAGCTTTTAAACCTCGGAGTCTTTCCAAGAAAACTATTGAATTGAGATAAACACAATGGAATTCCAACTTGCCAAGGGTCATAACCAAATCGAACCTTTGATCAGCTGATCTGGACGGAGCTAAGGGACAAAACTCAGTCATGCCTAGTTATTCAGCCCTGCATTAAAAACTAGGTAATGATGCAGACCACAAATTTTGTTGCCTTTTGTAACAATAATTGGGCACTGGGTTCGAAGCTATTCCACTGTGTCCATGATAACAACATCAAAGGAAGATACACAGCTCCTTAGGCTAGACATTCTGCATGACAATGATTCATTACTCTCAGTTTAGTGTCTGTTGCAAAATTAATCTATCAATATCCACATCAATCTCTTCACTCGCTCACAAATACATGTTAGTATATAGTTGGATGAAGCAGCACACCGCCCACAAAAAACAGACCCTCCATGCAATCGAAGTTCAAGTCATGCAGTGCAAGTTCAAGTTGTGCAGCTAATGAGTTGAAGGTGCTGTGTAAGTGAACATCTGTTTCTGGAGTTGAAACGCACGATTCTTCCTACGAACACAGCTGGTGGTCAACTTTCACACATCAGTAAGTAAATTGATCAATGTATGTCTAACTCATCTTGATCAACTAAAAACTAACAAAAGCCATTTTCTTCAAGATTTAGAGAAAGTTTCTTTGGAAGTAACTGTTTCTATATGGTGAAGCTTGTCACATTATGCTGTACAAAACACAGTTAGATCACACATGTTGTTGCCCACTTTGACCAACAGGTCATACTATTTTCAGTTGAGACTTACCTCCCGTAGCATCGCCGTGAGAAAATATAACAGGTGTATCCATTTCATGTGAAATCTTCTCTGACAACTCAGAATCTCGGGCTAAGCTCACACCCTAAAAGCACAACAACAAAACTTTGTCAGTTCAACACTAAAACCTATATAATTTAAGATATACATTTGTTTGCTTGTTTGTTTCTTTGTTGCACTCAGCAATATTCCAGCTATATGATGGTGACCAGACAATCCATAAACTGACATCATGAGCATCGATCCATTCAACTGGAATACGATGATATGAATCAACCAAGTCAGCGAGCCAGACCACCCAATCCATTTAGTCACCTTTTACGGCAAACATAAGTTGCAAAAGACCTATTCTACCCCAGATCTTCAGGGGTAAAAAATATATTCAGTCTAAACACACATTAATGTTCTTCTGCGTCCATAAAGTTTATACATATATACATTTATATACACTTCCAATCATCAATTCATTTTTAATCTCACCAATAAAGCTATTCATAATCAGTAATGTCACTTTCAAAGAAACTGCTGTCACGAGCACTGTACCTCACCTTAATATGTAGTCAAAAGTATATGTCAACAAAGTCAGGCACTTAAAATATATGTGTCCATGTCGAAGTTCAGCTTCCTCAGTCTTTCAATTTCAAAGGAGGAATTTACAGAGCAAACACGCCTTTGAGATATTTTAAGAACAGTCAAATCAAGGTAAAATGTAAAATGTTGTCTAAAAGAGAACATATGTGTCAAGCCCCTCCACACATTGACCAAATTTTGTTGTCTTTTGAACAGATATGGCTGAGTAATGGCCACAAAACGTTTCAGCTTTCTCTGTTGACGAAGTGCAAAGGTTAAATAAGGTCAAGGTTCAACTTAGCACCCAAAAAAATCCGGGACATATTTCTTTGATCCCACAACTAAAGTGGGTGGACTTTCAGTTAGGTGAGCTAGCAATGGGAATGGGTAAGATATTTTGAACTACAAGAAGCATGTCTTACCTCCATAAAAGATTTAGCAAACTCCTCTGCAGCAGCTACTGAGCTGAAAGCTGCCTTAAAGTCCCTCCTGACTGGCTCGTCTGTTGAGAAGTCTTGGGCACTCCACATACAGGCTCTCTTCTGATTCTCTCTGGAAATATAAACAATCATAGAGAGATGACATCAGGTGTGCAATATCGGTGACATTTCACAGGTGAGTAACATAACAAGTCAGGGGTCAATAGTGTAGGTATCTAGCCAAACCTAAAGACGCTAAGGGTTTTAGCAACTTGACTGTTACAGTGTAGGAGTTGCCATAATCTTCTCAGCAGAAAGGAGAATTCCCAAATACTATACATACACTCATTTGACATTTCCCCTCCCAATCCCCTTTTTAACCGCCTCTGTGGTCTGGTGGGTAGTGATTCTGTCCGAAAAGTGGAAGGTCGTGGTTGAATCCCTGGCCTCGTCATAGTTAAAGACGTGAAACGGTTGTGCTACTCGTTACCCTGTCTGATGGTAGGCATTAAGATAAAACAAGGACTGGTCAGCATACTGTGTGTGAGTGGGGTATCCATGTTAAACTGTGGCATGGTATCTCCATGGGCTAGCTCTACGGGCCCCGACATAAGCCCAGACATGCACGCACGCAATCACGCAGTCACATGTTTTACTGTCATTATTCTGCGGATATATTTTCAAGGTGAAGTATTTTTATCTGACTTACAGTTTTATTGAGTGTTCGCGACAAATGACATGGTTGCAGATTTTTTGTTTGTCATCTGTCTCCATGTCAATCTGGTTTCCGTCCAGTTCATCATTGTACAGAATCTTCAAGTTGCCCATTCCAAGTTTCTAGAAAGAAGACCATTCTCGTTCAAAACAACTCCAACTTGTGAATGAATTTGTGAAACCCTTATGTGACAGGTATGTTAGTGAATGAGTATGTTAGTATGGTTTTAAGCAGCTTTAAACTACCTCAATAACTATATATTTGTCCATTTATGTAATTTCAGGATAAAAAAAGCGTTATCTTCGACTATCTTGAACTGTGTACATGTATCTCAAAGTTTGCCACATTAACAGTTTTGAGAAGCACCAACAAGCATCTCACATAGCATGGAGTGCAGCGTTAAACAACAAACAAACAAACAAAACATCAAAGCGGGCAATTAACAAGCTTGAGATGAAAGTGGCACTTTGTAGACTGACTTAATAATGTACCATCACTCAGCTGTTGATTTTTGACTGCTGTTATTGATTGCTGCTATGCCTTATAAGGATCTATACTACAAAAAGTTTGCTAAGGATCAAGTTTTCATGATATCAAAAAATTATCCAACAAATAAAGATTTAAATACCCCGGTTACAGTGATTGGGTAACCCCTGTAAGACCTCAATTTCATGATGAACGGACAGAGGCATGCATTCATGTGCATAAGGTGCTTGAAAACCCTATGTTTTGAGGTATCATGACAGAATCGTTGCACATCATTATCAGAGAGCACACCAACATTTGCTACTGAGGATTGCAACAACTGAATGCACTTATGCTCACTCCACGTCAAAGACGTTGTTTGAGGAACGAAGATTTAGGCAGATACATGGAATCAACACCAGATGTTTGCATCAGGGACTTGCAGGTGGTAGACAATGTTCCACCACACAGCGGGAAGACAGTTTTCTCCTGATAGTGTAGGTATCTAGCCTGATTGCATTTTGTGTCTGCCACCACACTGAGAAATGACCTGCATAACGCCAGTAACGGAGGGAATGTATCAGACAGGCAGGCACATTTGGACTGGGCTGAAGATCACCTCAAGTGGACAGACCAGGACTAGGCTTCAGTACCATTTACTGATGAATCAAGATACTATCTTGACTTCACAGATTGTCATGCCTGAGTGTGGTGTAGATAAGGATTTTAGGATTCCAACGTAGTCAAACATGACCGCTATGGAGGAGGCTCAATCATAATTTGGGGTAGGATCAGTAGAAAGGGAAGAACCGATCTCAATGTCCTACAGCGAAGCACAATGACAGGTGTGCGCTTCAGGGATGACATTTTGGATGTGTGAGTAAGACTGTATGCTGGAGCAATCGGACTGGACTTCCTCATCATGGACGTTAACGCATGATCGCATCGTGCCAGTGTCGTTAATGCCATCTTAGAGCAGCAAACCATTTTGACAAGTGATCTGACTGACTCTACATCACTGCAATACTGTGCGACACATAAAACAAGATTCATCAGAAAGATGACATATCCCCCCCGGCAGCTGTCTGTAAAGTAACCACTAGTAAATGTGCAAAACTGTATGTAATGAGTCAACAGTTGAATGTTCTTTAAGAAGCATACATTGTTTACCCACTGAATGGTTTTCGAATTCTGCCCTGGAAACGAACCCATTCCCAAATGGAGTCTAGGTCAAACTTCTTTCCATAAAAATTGTAAAAAATAAAAATTCGTAAAAAAATATATATATCAAAAGGCACCACTTCGGTATGTGCCTGATAGCTTTGCCAAATTTCGATCAAATACACTGAATGGTTTTGGAATTCTGCCCCGGAAACGAACCCCATCCCCAATTGAGTCTATGTCCAACTTCATTCCATAGAAAAAATTATAAATAAAAATTAGAAAAATCCCAAATTATCAAAAGGCACCACTTCAATATGTGCCTGATAGATTTGACAAGTTTCGATCGCATACACTGAATGGTATTCGACTTCTGCCCCGGAAACGAACCCCATCCCCTAATTGAGTCTATGTCCAACTTCATTCCATAAAAATTTAAAAAAATTAAAATTAAAAAAATCCCCAAATATCAAAAGGCACCACTTCAATATGTGCCTGATAGATTTGCCAAGTTTCGATCAAATACACTGAATGGTTTTGGAAATCTGCCCCGGAAAAGGAAATGATTATGGACGGACAGACAGACTGGCTGATCGCTATATCCCCCCACATTATATGCCGGGGGGATAAAAAGCACCAATATCTTACCTTCCACTCATCATTCTCAAAATAAGTCAACGTAGCTCTCTTCTCAAACATGATGCTTTCTTCCTCAGAATCGTCATCTTCTTCCTCATCCTCATCCCCTGTCACATAGACGTCCTCAGAATCGTCATCTTCCTCCTCCTCCTCCTCCTCCTCCTCCTCCTCCTCTGTCACAGAGACGTCCTGGCTTTTGGAGTTGTTGGTATTCTTGGCTGGGGATGCTGGAAGTACATCAGTTCCTGTTTTAGACAATTCTTCAGGAGACAGATAAACTGTTTTATTCAAGGGTGCAGAAAAATGGTCACAGTGAGTTTGGTTTATTTGAATCTTATAAGATCGATCAATGTATTAATCTTTGGTTGAACAAGAATAACACCATTCTATACGACTGAGAAAAATGTTAAACAGCTATGAAAAATGATCATCCAGAAGGTTTAGATTTAATTACTTTGGTTCAATGGGTAAGAGGTAGCACCCTGACACAAAGCCTTACCAGATTCCGTTGCCCTGACCAGCTCCTGAACCTCCTCAAACTTCTTCTTGAACTGTCTGGCCAGCTCCTCTGTCTGCAACACAAGACTCACTCACATGAGATGACGACATACACAGTCCATCCTAAACAAGAACCATCAGGAGATGACATATCTTCTCCATTCTGGTGCAATTCAGAAATGGAGTTTGGCTATTTATACCCAACTTTTGGTACATTGCCATTGGTTACCTTCAGTTCTGTGAAGAAAAAATACATTGCTGTTCAGTATTTTTCAGTATCCCAAATTATCAAAAGGCACCAGTTCACAACTATACTGGTCTGTAAAGCAAGTTTCATCTGGAAATATCCAACGGTTTGGGTGTTCTGCACCGGAAATGAGCACTACTTGTTGTCGTGAAAAACAAATAATTGAAGCTCCCAAATCATCAAACGGTACCAGTACACCACTAGACTGACCTGCATAGCAAGTTTCGACAAGATATATTCAACGGTTTAGGAGTTTAGCTCAAGAAACGGAAAACTGATGGATGACAGACGGACAGACATGTTGTTCGTTATATCCCCTAGTTTTTTCAAAAAGGGATGATAAACAATGGATGTACAAGAAATAATTATCTATAGTGCTTTACTTACAAACCCATCATTGTATATTCTAGCAAGAGCCCAGGTTGTTTGTCACAGACAGGATTTGTTTTCCATTACTTCAAAACATGCATTTCTTTCCGTTAATGGAGGAGCCAAACAATTTAATCCAACTTGGTAAATCCTGAGGATAGATCTTCCCTCCACCCCCAAAAGTTTGAATCCTTTCTTAACTGAAATGTAGATGCAAATTGACGTCTCAAAATGTAATGCTGCCCAAGACATGTCTGTTACTTCAGTGGTGACTGACCTTGAACCTGAGGGCAAACTGTTCAACCTTGGCCTCGTTCTCAGCATAGTCTTGAGCAGTCCAGCACCAGGCTGTCTCTGACGTTGACATGGGAGACAGAGTCATATTGCCAGCTATCAGATGATTACATGCTACTTTGTGTACTTGATCTCGCCTCATCAGCAATCGGTATTTATCTACAAGGACAGAAAGCAGAATGGAAAACATATATAAAGGTTTTATCATGTTATTGATATAAAAACATTGTTCAGACAGAAGAACTGAACAACACATTTTCAAAGAGTCTACTGTTGTTTAATATTACAATATGGTTCTCGGACTAGTTTCAGTGCAACAGAAGACTAAACTTTGAACCCTGCCCTCATCATGCTTATGACAAGCATGTGTATCACATCAAAAGGTTGTCTGTTGGTTGTTTCAAGCTATATGATGGTGGCCTGTAGGTAGGAGTCTAGATGAAATATGCCAATACACGAGATGCCAGACTCACCATCTTGTTTGAGGATCTTCATGTCTCCCACAGCTCTCTCCTTCCACTGGTTGGAATCCCGCACATATCGGAACAGCTTCGATCTCTGGCAGTACACCACCTCCCAACCTTCTTCCCCTGCAAGGACATTTACATCCATATCACATATGCAGACAAACTATGCCAAAAACAAAACAATAACTCACCAAAAAAGACAATATATGAACAGGAAAGCACAATTTGGCATTGAACTCACCTGTTTTGACTTCAACTAGTTCTGGAAGGTCAATGATGGGCTTAAAGTAAATGTCATCACTCTGCACAACCTCATCATCATCAACATTGGTCCTGTTGCCTCCTGGGGCAGTCCCAAAGATCTGCTGACCTGCTCCTGACCACTGGAATGGTCGGTTCTCATCTGCCAGAGAAAAACATAGAATGTCAGGCCAAGCGCTATGCTCAATAACCTGGGAAGGGACTTACTAAGACTCTAAACAAAGGGTACCTGGCAAGCAAAATGGAGAAAGAACTTAGTTTGTTCAAAATTGTGATGTTGTATTTAAGGTACCTTTCTCCTTCAATTTAAAGGTCTATTCACATTGAATATCAATATTACATTCAGTACTGTGAACTAAGAGTGAAATACACTTGACCAAGTGATCACATTAGAATCTAGATGCTACTATATATTACATCAATTAAGAGCATCCTAATTCCAATTTGGGAAATTTAGACATTTGCTTCAGACTTAGGGCAGAATAATGCTGGGAATTACATTTGTTTTTTTGGTTTGGTTTGTTGTTTAACGCCGCACTCAGCAATATTCCAGCTATATGACGGCGGTCTGTAAATAATCGAGTCGGGACCAGACAATCCAGTGATTGATATCATGAGCATCGATCCATGCAATTAGGATCGATAAAATGCATCAACCAAGTCAGCGAGCCTCACCACCCGATCCATTTAGTCGCCTTTTACGACAAGCATAGTCACCTTTTACGGCAAGCATGGGTTGCTGAATACCTATTCTACCCTGGAATCTTCGGACTTCAGCCCAATAATGCTGGGAATTACATTTGGGGTTGAAAAGGCTGCAACCAATTCTAGGACTGATGATGGGGTCTGTCTACTTGCCTTTCTTGAAAGCATAACCAACTGCTTCTCCCTGTGCAACTAGGGTAGAGAAGGACATCCCTGAAGCCTGGCCAAACATGCAGAACCCTTCACTGGCACCAGTACTGCCTGCAACACCTGATGGTCAATAAGTCATTAATGCAAACATCATCGCCTTTGGTGTTTAATGCTGCATTACGTAATATTGAGGCTACATGATGGCAGCCTGTAAAAAATCAAACTGGGCCATGACAATCCAGTGATTGATATTGTGAGCAACAATCAATGCAGTTAACACCAAGTCAAAGAGTATGACCACCCCATCCGTTAAGTTGCCACTTATGACCAGCATAGATTGCTTGGGAATTCTAACCAGGAGTCACCACAGGGATGTTTGTTAATTAAAGGAACATAAAATAGGAGCATGTAACATAGAAGCTCTTCCCTGTCACCATCCAATTACTCTCATTACTTACTGCCCTCAAATCCTATCTTGTATCAGTTTCACAACGGTTGGATATTCAGTGTTAGAATTAAACGGGGACCCTGGGGTTTTGTATTAATATGATGGTTATGACAAGGATCCATCGACTTGCATGCTTAATTCTCCCACTAATATTGATACCTCAACAAAGCTCCAGACAACTATCAATACTGATTACTTCATGGAAGTGTAAATACTATAAACCAAAACCACTTACTACCAGCACTGCTTGAAACTTGAACTGACGCTCTTGTTGGCGCAGGACTTGTCTCCTCAGATTTTGCTGTAATGATAAACGAACCTAAATAAACTTTAAATTACCAATGTCAGATTTCAGAAAAAAGAAGCTCGCCATTACACTTATTTTATATTCTTGTTAGAGAACGATAGTTTCATCCTTTTAGACATACCCTCATGAAGACTGTTAATAAAACTCACATTTGGCTTTGACCTTGCTGGGCACGCTGACTTTGCTGGGGTCATAGTCCTCACAGCCAATACAGCCTGGACAAGGGGGTTTGTTTTCATAGAGGTAGAAGGACTCGGGCAACAGGTACTTCCTGGCTCTGGCCGTCTGTTCCTCTGTAGCCTCCTCCACATACAGGAACTCCACACCTGAAGTGTCTAAGGGACACAGAACCAAGCGTCAGAAACAAGGACGTAGAGCGGGAATCTCACGGGTAAAGTGCCTTTTATAAATCAGTGGGTGAAATCAGTTTTTCAGAACGGTAGGGTCAAAAATGAAAAATGGTGGGGTTTTTCCTTTTTCACAAAAAGTCCAAAGGTTACTTCTCCTCCTATATAAACGTACCTTGAAGTCTATTTCATGACTAAATTAGTTGGAAGTTGCTGTTTTTTTCTGAATGTAACATTAACCAAAATAAAATAGCAACAATCCGTAATTACTTGTGACAATTCATAATCCAATAAACAACTTCACACAGTGCCACTTCTGGAGGGGCATATCTTAGAAAAGTAAAATGTGGAGGCAGGTGCCACTACTTCGAAACATCACATTTGATATGTAGTATAGGTGTGAGCACCATACCTGCTGGCCAGGTTCCCACAGTGGGAACCACAACACCAACACCCAAGTAGTTTTCTACATGCAGCTGGCAAACTGCAACTGGGCTAGTGTATAGCACTAGTAATTATCAGATTCTAATCCTGTTGAGTGAGTGAGTGAGTGAGTATGATTTTACGCCGCTTTTAGCAATATTCCAGCAATATCACGGCGGGGGACACCAGAAATGGACTTCACACATTGTACCCATGTCGGGAATCGAACCCGACACAGGTTTGTGCTCAAAAGTTGATATTGTCGTAATAACAAGATTGTGTTTTTAATGCCAGCTAATGTTCTACATCAGTAACACCATGAATCAACATTTCTATCAATAAAGGAATCCATCAACCTTTAACAAATCAAGGTAGGCAACAAAATTAAAGACAAGTAATAAGGTGACAAAGTAGACAAAAAATAAAGGATAACAACTTCTTTATTATACTGGGATAGCAATGGTAGAAATAGAGAATCTCACCCGAGTGTCTTTTGATATCACATATATCAACACGAGTTGATAAAAGTGGAAAAATTCCGAGGATTGCCGAGGATTTTTGCCACTTTTATCAACGAGTGTTGATATATTTGATATCAAAAGACACGAGGGTGAGATTTTATTTATCATCCAACATCATTCTTTCAACTTTTTCAATTTGTAGACAGTAATTAGCTGTGTCTTCAGTGTAAAAAGTACTGAAAACAGCTTCAGTAGCAGAGCCATTAGTGATGGCATTTGATTATGACGTCATGGTAACCAGTGACGTCACAATGGTCTGCAAAGCATTCGTCAACTTTGTCATTCGTCAACTTTGTCATTCGTCAACTTCTGGGAAATGCCTATCAAACAATTGAAGCTATGAGGTATACAAAGAGATGCAAATTAATAGGGAAAGACATCAATACTATGTTCTATTATCAGGCTATGGTCAGTAACACACAAACAGACAGGGAAGCATACAAGTACAGGGGCTGACACTTTCCATCTGGTTCAAGGAGGTACTGGCTCCACAAACAAGGTACAGATCAGAAAGTTAAAACTTCCAAAGGATATTTCAATTCCAGTGCTTACAACACAATGCACACCAACAACATCATCATGAACATTACAGATCTAAAGTGAGAAATATACCAAGTGACATAATATTTATGGAACATTCTTGTAATGGGTGTCGAAAATATACAAACTGTTCTTAATCAGAAACATTACAAATAAAATAGAAAATAAAAATCAGCGTCCCTTTACCTGTTTAAGCACAAATTATGTAAATGGACTATAACTGACACATTTCACTTGAATTTGAAGTGAGACACATTTTTTTTGTCAAACTGAATTAAATGCTATCTACGTAACAAAATATGGTGAGTAAAACCAAGGTATGGGTGACTAATGGTTTATTGGCAGACATATTTACATAGTCCTGTTAGTATCACACACACATTCTGTATTGTCAATAATGTATGTAAATGGAGAATAATTGCCCGATTTCTCTTGTATTTATGTAGTGGACTAATGTGGTAAGTACAAACAAGGTATGGGTTGCTGATAATTTATTGATAGTCCACATATACATGGTCAAGTTAGTTTCATACCAACTCAGCTGATTGTGAAACTGACCCAAACTGACTTGTTCATGCAGTTAATTCCACTCTATATCACCACATAAAGAGCCAGTCCAACTTTCTCTAATAACAAACAAATGCTTTTGAAAAAGACAAAGACAACTTGTTGTCTCCAAACAATTTTCCCAGCTCAAGTAACTTGTTAGCGTTAAAATTGCCGTGTAAAAGATGTGAAGTCTTTCATTTCTACTGCAACTTTCCTGTATTCAAAGTGTTCTCAGACAATTACATTTTCAAATAGACACTAGAATCTTGTTGTCATCATACATGACGCCAAAGAACAGGGTATCCAATTTGTGTGACCTTTAACATGTTTAATATACAATGTCAAGGCCAGAGAATAATTCCACAGAAACAGATTGCACTGGGTGCAAAAGGTCACACAGCAGTGAAAATTACACTGATTTAGTACTGAAAATCAGTGACGACACCTGGAAGGGAACAACACTTGATGTATAGCTGAGATTTGAAGGACAAGATTGTTTGTTGTCTGTCATGGGAACCTGTACCTAATCAAGTCAAGGCAGAAGAATGCGCCAGTGACTGATATCATGAGAAATGCTCCCCACATTCCGGGTATGATAACACACAATGAACCAAGTCAGGACAGGCCTTGAACCATACAATATTTCTGCAGATGTCTGTTCAAAGTCAGGTGTTCTGTTATAGGTTAACAAACATTGGTAAATATTTGAGTATACAGAGGAATACAGATTATGTCAAAAGTTTGATGTCTAAAACTGAAAACAGCACCAACCGTACACTGTTACAGTATAAATTACCTAGAATCAACTATAATGTATCACAATGTTACAACCTTCACCTAAGTGGGAGAAACTAATAATATATCAAACTTTTGACGTAACCTGGAAGGATGCAAGTTTGTAAAGCCAACAATGAGTATGGAGGCGGTGTGGATACCAAGCTACAAGTGGAGGGGGATACTGGTCTCACCATTCAGCTTGGAGGAGTAGTAAGGGTTGCCAAGGTTACCAGTCCCCTGACTGCTAGAATATGTCATCTTTGGTTCATCTATCAACTCGTCCAGTTCAGAGCTATAGTAAGGGTTGCCATCCTCCCCGGTGGCCTGACTGACTGTGATGGATGTGACAGTCTCCACAACCACTGAGCTGTCCAAGTGTTCTGTGTGGTAATGGTTGCCCTTGCCCCCGGTCCTCTGGGTGCTACTGCTCTGTATCACTGGCTTTACACCCGTCTGGTCAAGCTGGGATGAATAGTAACGATTGCCTTCATCACCTGTTTCTTCATAGCTGGCGCTAGACAGAAGGGACTCATCCATAAGTCTGTCCAGTTCAGACCTGTAGTAGGGATTGCCCTCACCACCAGTACCATGTGCAACTTTGGTGGCTGACATGGATTCTATGACAGCAGCCTGTCCAAACTTTGCTGTATGATAAGGATTGCCTTTGTCTCCAGTACCTTGTATATTTGCAGCTTCCATCTGGGATTCTACACTTGCTTCCTCTACCTGAGCCTTGTAATATGGGTTGCCCTTGTTTCCAGTACCCTGAATGTCCATACTTGTCATCTGGGATTCAACTCCTGATTTTTCTAGCTCAGCCTTATAATATGGATTGCCCTTGTCACCTTGACCTTCAATGTTCGATCTGGTCATCGAAGACTCCACACTGAACACATCTAGCCCAGATTTATAATATGGATTTCCCCTGTCACCAGTACCATGTACAGTTGTAGCTGCCATTTCTTCCACTATCTCAGAGTCATCAAGATGCTGTACATAATACGGGTTACCTCCATCACCTGTTCCTTGTACACTGGTGCTAGTCATAAAAGATTCTGCACTCGTTTTCTCAATGTCTGCTTTGTAATATGGGTTTCCCTTGTCCCCAATTCCTTGAACACTCGCAGAAGACATATGTTCCTCAACCCCAGATGTATCCAGTCTTTCCTTATAGTAAGGACTGCCCTCATCCCCTGATGGCTGACTAGAACTACTGGTCTGTAAGGGCTCTATGATTAGGTTCTCAAGCTCATCTTTGTAATAAGGATTGCCACTATCACCAGAAACCTGATTGGTTGAGCTTGTCATCAGAGCTTCAACTAAAGAGATCAGATGGAATCATTGCAGCAATAACCATATAAGCTTACCTGTACACATTAACCCTCTATACAATCAGGTTTCAAATACATCGTTAACTCTAAAAGATCTTACCGTCACAATGACATAATATTGACATATGAGTGGCATTTTTTTTTCTGTAACTTTCTTACAGGTAAAATGGTTATGGGACACCACAAATTTTCATCAAAAGAAAGTTTAAGGAGAAGTTACTGATGATGAAAAACTCTTAATTGAGTCATTGTGGCCATGTGAAAACAAAGTCACATGACCAAGATGCTTTACAATCAGTCATCAAGTTCTCTAAAACTTAATGTCACACTTTAGATTATCTGTTTTCAAACAAAATGGGAATGAATGCCCTTGACCTTGAGTTAAGAATGATGTTGTCATGATCGATTTGCTATGACATCAATTTGGAGGAATGCCTACCAATGGACCAAATGGACCTTTACCTATATCAGTAAATTCATGAAAAAGAACTAAACTACCCAGGATTGTATCGCAGTGAATCCATTGTAAACAAAGGTCGTAACAACAACAAATTCAAACAAAGTCAATTTCTGGAAAACACATCAAGTCGCCCTCATCCTACGGGGCAGTGTTATTACCTACATAACATCGAATGATTACAGCAGACTCACCCTCAAACTGTTTGGCTGACACATCTTCTGTAGCAGCTGCAGAAGCACGTTTTTCACCACATTTGCCAGAATCGAACTCCTTCTTGAATTTGTCAGCTATCTCCTCGTTCTTAAACTTGATAGCCAGTTGTTCCACCTTGCCCTCCTCTTCTGAGAAGTCCTTAGCATACCAAACCCATGACTTCCCATCACCTGAGGCCATAGGCTTGAGTTCCAGCTCAGGGTTGATGACGTGGTTGCAGCAGACTTTGTAGATCTGTTCACGCCTCATCAGCAATCGGTAGCGGTGAGAGGATTTGTGTTCCAGGATCTTCATTGTGCCAAGACCTCTCTCCTTCCACTCACCCTCACTGAACCTTAGAATATAAAGAAATATTAAGTGTATGATAGTTTCATACCATACCATACCATAGCTTCTTGAATTGTGTAAACATTCATGAATGATCTTGAGAATGGCTTGATCTGCAGCATAAGCCGTACATCTGACCCAGGCAGCGACAGATGATAAATCTGAGACATGAAACCTTTCTGAACAAAATACGTCATGGGGTATATTCAAACCAAGGCCTGAAGCAGTGGTCTATACATGTATGCTTGATAATAGAGTTTGCAAAATTGAAGACATCATACAAAACTTCTTTAAAGGGCCAACAATGCCATGGAGCATGATGCAACATTAAGTAAGTTGAAGATAATAATCTAATAATTCCCAATTCCTGGTTGAAGTTGGGTCTGTTGCCCACTCAGCAATATTCCAGCTATATGAAGGCAGCCTGTAAATATACAAGTCTGGACAAGAAAACCCAGTGTTTGATATTGTGGATAACACTGTGATGGTACCATGACAGCTATCATCCAAGACACCGAGTCTGATTGCCCCATCCATTTAGTCGCCTCTTACGACCAGAATAGATCACTGGGGACTTGTTCTAACCAGGACTCCCCACAGGGTTGAAGTTACTAAAGATCAACATACCTGAAGAGCTTTGCCCTCTGTTCAAAACGGGTTATTTCCTCCTCTTCCCCAGTCTTCACATCAACTTTGTCAGGTAAAGACACAATAGGTTTAAAATAGTAGTCCCCTTCTGGAGATTTGGGGGACGTCACAGAGGCCTTGGCTTGAGGAGTCTTTGATGGGGTAAGGCTGAATGTGAACTGAAATGGGGAGCTGCTTTCTTTCTTATCTTGGCTCTTCACTGGAGTTGAGACCTTTCCGAGATTAAACTGGAAGACTCCAGATCCATCCTTCTTGGCAGAATCAGCTGCAAATTTGAATCCTGATGATTTGGGAGCAAAGCAAAACCTGGTTGCAGTCTTAGACAGGGGATCATGAGGTAGCAGCATCTCAGCCAGGAGGCCTCCAGTGGTAGAATCAGCTGGCTCACTTTTAGCTGGGGTTGCTGGAGTGGATGGCTTGGGTGAGAAACTGAATCCATCACTACCAACACCATCCAACTTGAATCCACCTCCTCCAAAACTAAATCCTCCAGGACCTATCGTGGATGCATCTGACTTCAGGATGTTTTTAGCAGCCTCTTTACCTGAATCAACTGCAATTTTCTTTGGAGAGTCTTCAGCACTTTGTGTTGGCTTTGTAGGAAATGAAAATCCACCACCAGACGTTGCAGAGCCCAAACCAAATCTTCCGCCTTCTTGCTTCTTTCCAAAACCGAACCCTCCTCCTCCTGTTGCTCCACCAATCTGGAATCCTCCTTCACCAATCTGAAAGCCTCCACTGGAAATATCTGGTGCAGGTTTGGTTGTTTCAGCTTTCTTAACTTCCTCTTCAGCGCCTGGCTTGATTGTGTTACATGCTGGACATTTCAGTTGCTCACCCTTGTTCACACAGTAGCATCCCTCGCATTTCCAGCTTCCAGTTTTAGGTTTGAACATGTCTGCTAATGACTTCTTTCCTTTAGGATCCTCTTTTGTCTGAGCTACTTCACTGCTTCCAATAGCTTCTGGTACTGGTTTCACTGGCGAGTCTTCTATCATATCCTGGGATTTCTCAAAACATTCTTTGAACTGACCAGCCAATTCTGGAGTCATAAACCTGATGGCCAACTTTTCCATTTTCCTTTCCTCCTCTGCAAAATCCATTGCTGACCACCACCAAATTCTGTCAGAGCCGGTCATTGGTGTCAGTTTCATGTCTTTGGTTATGTTGTGATTAGCACAAATCTTCAAAACTTGCTCACGTCTCATCAGAATTCGGTAACGTTTGGCAGCCTTATTGAACAGAATCTTCACCTCACCGATTCCCCTTTCCTTCCACCGATTGGTATCAGCATCAAACCTAAACAGCCTGGCCCTCTCCCCGAACACCTTCTCTTCATCCTCCTCCCCCGTCTTCATCTCCAGTAAGTCCGGCAGATCAATAACAGGCTTGACGTCAACATTGAGTTTATATCCCTCAATCTTATCCTCATCTTCTCCCTTGCTTGGGGTTGTCTTAAACGAGTGCTGACGTGTTTTTAATCCGGGGAATCCTGTTGCTGAATTATTGGCAGCAACGTTGGAAAAACTGGGCATGGGGCTTCCAGTGTTTTGTCCAAGAGTAAAAACAGAGCTAACTGTTGAAGCACATGAGGGCCCATCTCCTGTGCCTTTCTTCATGGCATCAGTTTTAACTGGTGCTTTGGGAGTCGTGGATTTGGTTTGTGTAAATGTAAACCCAGGGATAGATACTCTAGGGGCCTGCGTTGTGGTAGTTTTAACAGTGAAGGTGGACGGTGAAGTTGCCAAAACTGGTTTTGGTTGTGAAATAGCTTCAGATATTTTCCCTGCATCCTGAATTTTCTTAATAATCAAGTTTAATTTCTGAGCAAGTTCAACATTATCAAAATGTAGGGTAACTGTCTCCCCTCCCTTCATTTCATGATGAGGTCTCTTCCATTTGACCTGCTGCGGGTTGAATCGGGTTGCCACCAGCCTCAGTGTATTAATATCATGGTTCAGGAGTATCTGGTTCTCTGCTAGGTTCTCCATCCTTACCCAGCCATCCCTCTTGGCACCAAAACAAACCACTTTAACAATTCCTTCCTGCTTGGCACCAATTATTGATATGTCGGTTGCCTTTCCTTGGAAAACACATTTAGAAGATGGAACAGCCCTGTTCACAAGATTCGGAACCTGAACCTGTGGTATCTGTCCAGAAGGATGATGTTCCACAGAGTCTGGCTGGGGACTGTTCGCCTTAGCTAGAGATGTATCTTCCGGTTTGGCACCAATCTTTGATACGTAGGTTGCTTTTCTTTGGAAACCATCGGCCTCAGAATCAGCTGCAGAAAGAAAGTGGAACCTCATAAGGCACTTTTTAAATAACAATGAGAAGATTCATGTTTTATTATATATATACTTCAGTGTGAAACACTTAGTTTTCCGAATTAAAGAAGAGGGAAATTTTCACTTCAGAGAACATGGCACTTATATTTCACTGCAGTGAACACTTGGATGGAAATATTCTCATACAAGAGTTGTCACCACAAACTGTCTCCCTTTATCGTAGCCTGCACACAAACTGTTGAATTTCTTTTTATGGTAGTTATACATTGAAAAGGCAAAGTAATGACAGATGGTCATTTTACGGGGTTAATGTCACTTCTTGCCATTCTCTCTTCAGTATAAACTGTAAATTTCTCATTCAACTCGTCAATCGAGTTGTTTAGCAAAGAACCATTTTTGTTATTTGACCAGCATGCATTCTTTCGCCTCCAACTGGGGTCTCGTAGAATTCAAGAATATGTTTTTGGTTTAAGTTGATTTTGTATCTAATTATATCCAAATGTATGATAAAGAATTTTCGTGACCCTAAAAATATTTTCTTACGTTTGGTAATATTTTTTTAAGATTTTTCAAGCACGGAACAACTTTTTGTTGCAATTACAATGGGCGATGAAACGTCCCTGTGTGTTAGGTAGGGAGGCTTTACGTTTCAAGGTTTTACATCTGTAATGAAATAATGTAATTTTCCGGTAGTCAACTACACATAAGTCATACCCAGCAAAAAAAAAGAAACGCAAAAATAGTAAAATCGTAAATATCTGACAGATGGTTGCCGACATCCATACAAAATTAATACCAAAACTGAATCGGCCATTTATGCATGGATGGGGATTGACTCGTGTGGAAAGAATGAGATACTGCATAATTCTGGTGAAAAGGTGGAAAAATCGCGGAAAAACCAACATGACATGTACGGTCAACATCACTTGGTGGACTATAAAAACCTTTGGTTTTCATTTGCATGCCATCACAATCTTACAGAATGTGAACAGGTTAAACAAGCCACGACCGATTGGAGCCCAGTGCAAAAAAGGGCATCGGCCAAATGCAAACAGGAGAATCATCTTCAGCTGTAGCCAGGTTTTTTCACGTAGCATCAAGCACCATTACAAGGCTGTAGAACCGTTGTCAGACACACAGGACTACGAGGGACCTTTCCTGATCCGATCGACCACGTCTCACAACTAGAGCACAGGACAGATTCATACGGTGGCGTCACTTTCGTGAAATAACCAGCACGGTCACCTCTACAACTACGGCAATACCAGCATTGCGTAGGATATCAGCCCAGACAGTGAGGAACCGTTTACGCGTTGTAGGTATTACCACTAGACGACCAGTTCGAGGAGTCATTTTGACGCACCTGCATAGTCGGCTGCGACGTCAGTGGTGTCAAGTTCAAGTTCAAGATGGTGACAAGTTTGGATTATTGAGGAAACACTTTTTATGCTTCGCCGTGCGGATGTTAGACGTCGTGTTTACAGGCGTCGCAGGGAACGTTATGCACATAACTGCATGCAGGGAGTGGACAGATTTGGTGGTTATAGTGGGATGATGTGGGCAGCCATCTCCTACACTGGTAGAACAGACTTGGTACAAGTTCTGGGGAATTTAACGGCACAACGGATGAGATTCTTCGGCCACATCTCCGTCTCATTTTGCAACAAGCAAACGTCATGGTCCAATGAAAATACCCGACCTCACATGGCAAGACTGACAACAAGTCAGGAATCACACCATCCAGTCCCTGCCATGGGCCTCCAGGTCTCCAGATTTAAACCCAATCGATCATTGATGGGATGCACTGGATCAACGACTGCGAGCACGTCAGCAACAACCACATAACTTCCGACAATTGGAGAAGCCCTACAGGCAGTGTGAGTGAACATTCCCCAGGCAGCGAATCGGCATTTGTAGGTTTTGGACCAATAGGTGGCTATACAAGATATTGAAAACAGATGACTTAAATCTTGAAAATCTACTGTTCCCTGAGTGCCTAATAGAACCTGGGTCAATGACAATAATGTGTGCCAATTTTGAACAATCGATTACCATCAATTGATTATTTATATGATAAATCAGATAGACATCTAAAATAAATTTTGCTTTTCTTTTTTGCAGGGTATATATATGATTAAAAGGATAGTCCATCCTCTACGTTTAACACCACAGTCAACGTTTTTACAGGTACTTTATATCGTCATGAATGATCATTGAAACCAGAAAACCAGAGCATGATCAATGATGACAATCCAGTCCTGTCCTTTGATAACATAACCACATCTAAGCTAGCAAGAAACAAAGTAAATATCCTCCTATTTAAATTGAAGAAACATAAAACAGTTCCTCGACAACTTTTAACTCAAAACAATATATGTTCCTCAAGGAGTATAATCCTAATAGCACTGTAAGACTGTTTATATGATATAACTTTACATTCAGACTGTAGGTGTAAAGATGCAATGTAGTTGTTTGTACATGATGCAACCACATAGTAGATACAAGGAATAATGTAATTATTTGTGTAAGAACATGAAGTATATTCCCGTTTACATTTGCTGTAATGTTTGGTTCAGATGCAGCCTGTAAGCCTGGAAAGTATTGTACTTTATACACGCAAAGGGGGTGATAGTCCAGACCGATTGTTCTCTGGTGTCATATATTAACCCAGTACCCCTAGTGTTACAAATAATGTGTATACTGTTCGGGATAGACACAGCAGTATCCGTTGGTATTGTCAACATATACAAGTACTTTATTCCAATAAAGAGAAGGCTATACTTACAGTAAGCAGTCCATGTATTTCCAAATGTAGTCATTGTGTGTATCAAATCTCGAAGCCCCATTTTTGAAAATGTGATTGAGGACTTTGGGCGGATACGTTGTGGTAATTGTGTGGCACTGCTAGCAATTATCTTGGTTTTTATTGTCTTCTTCAAGGAAAGGACTTCAGTTGGAGCACACAGTTCAAGACAGCTCTGGATAAAATGTAACAAAGTTTCACATGTAGAATCTTCATGTTGAAGTAACTTCCGAAGAGACGCATTTGAGGCCTTCTCTGCTTCTTTGCACTTTTCTAATGCCAGTAATACCTCATTTTCTCTCTGGTCTAAAACACTCCTGAGATGCCCAAATGTATGTTTTATCTGTTCTTTAAGGTCTTGAGCATTACGCTCAATGTCCAATTCAAGACCATCAACTTTGCCTTCTAAATCTTTGACAAGACTAAGCCTTTTTGAAACATTCACAATACCTTCCTTGAGGGTGTTTACCGCTGGATCATCGTTTATTATTGTAGTCGTACTACAGGTTTTGTGATGTGTTAAAACACACATTGCACATAAAATGATACCACAGTTCTCATCAAAAAGCTCCTCGATATACTGAGCATGAATTTTACAATACTTTGTTTGAGGGGTGTACCCCTTAAAGTTACACGTCAGTTCAGACAAGGCTACAACGTGATGATTTCGGGTCACCTTCGAATCTTCATGGGAAACCTGACAGTGTTCACACAGAAACACTTCACACTCCTGGCACCAGGACATGGCTTGATTGCCATCGTTGTTATTGGTGCATAAAACCGCCCCAGCGTTGTTTTGAATGGTTGCCAACAACACCTGTTTTGTTGTTACAACATCCTTAGTGTCGCCAACATCATTCCTCTTGAAGCCCTCCTGACAAATGCCACATCGTATAGTGTCAGTGTTGTCGGCATCATGGCATGTCTGACATACTGAATGTAGGCAAGGAAGTAGGTATGGATCGGGTCCACCGAACGTGTACGGAGCCTCACACACTCCACATCGATGCAGTATTCTATTCTCGGACATCGTATCTACAAAGAAATGAGTGTTTCATGTTTAATCGGCTTGGGCAACAACCATCTTCGTTTGATAGCCCCAAGCTTCTCAGATTCAAGTAGAAAGCCCGCTGCATTATAGATAAACAAATGTTAAGCACATTATGTAATATGGATGTTGACACCGAACTGTTTGAACTGTTTGAAAGCTTTTTAAGAAGTTGGTAAGTGACAGTAAAGACACAATATTTCATGGATGACAACTTCTATATTCTATTATGATGCAACTTTTCGGTAGACATCCTTACACCATTGTCAAGTAAGAATGAAGTAAGAGAGCACCCTACAGGCTCACACCCCATAAGGATTAACAAAAATAACATGAGGGTATACATGAAAGGGGTTAACCATGAATTGTTAACCCCTGTCGTCTTGTTGATGGCACTATCAAACTGAACACGACATCGATATTGCGTTATTCTATATTGATCATTTATTCTATACTGATTATCTGACCATGATAGACGCTTCCACTTAATGACGAAACACCCGAAATGCACATCGACACATAATCGACAGGTTATCATATTTCAATATATGAATATCAATATATCAATCAATACATAAGGATGTTGCACGTGCAACCAGCCTTTCCATTGAGAGTCGGTAGGTTGGATGCACAACAAAAATGTTCTTATGTCTTTGAAATGTGTCAACATTTCTTTTACATAATGGCGGACTCATGATTAATGTCATTTGGACAGGAATTTGGAAAATACTTTTCTTTCTCAAAAAAGTGTCGATGGCCATGTGTACGAATATAGGATACAAAATGCAGAGTTGCAGTTACTACTGGATGTGTGGCGATACATGTTGGGCAGAAAACACGATAGAAGTCAACTAAGAGAGTGTATTTTAAGTTTCAGGGACCACAGAGAGCTTGAATGATGGCGCTTTGCTTTATCCAACAGTGCCGTCATTTCGTTCGCATGGCAATGAGCGGATGTGATTCGTGGTGTAGAACTAAACATTGCAAGGCTTGCTTAATATTCTTAGAGAACCCACAATTTTATGTTGACTTCCGACGTAGCTATACTACACATTTCCAGTTCCTGTCTTATCTGCGCAAAAAGTATAGTGATCTCACAGAAACAATGTTTTAGCACCAAATAGTTCGTGTTCAATTGTCATGGTAGAATGGGGGAAAACAACTGTGTTTTCGTGTACATTAGGGTTACCTGTAGATTTATCCGCGCTAAATTGAATTTGGAACCAATTTCACAGCAAGAAAACGCAGTATGTTCATATGCTAAGTGATGTCTTGTGTTCAGATGAGCATATACTCTAAGTATTGTTGTAACTTACATGTAACTGAAATATATTCGATATGACCAACATATCCATTACCCTTTATCAGAAAGAGCCTTTGGTATAAAGGTATTTTACTGTGTTAGCACGTAAACAACTCATATTTTGAAAATGACCTTTCTGAACGAACATACCGCCATCTGACTTTCCTTAGTATGTGGGATGTAGTATGACGGACCATTTCTGTCCATACCCAAGTAAAGCGTCATATCCAGTTCACATAGTCGATAGCTATGTTCAGGCGTGGGAAGACTTTTTTATGTTACACAACATGATCAAGCGGTCATTCTAGTCGCAGACGTTACTTGTTTTGCGAACATCTGGTGTCATCACTGATTTTCAGTAATCCATTCACATAATTTCCACCGCTACCTCCCTTACACTGTGTGGGACAACTGAACTCACTATTACTGAATTCTCGCTTTTCCGCTGGTCCAATGAAATCGTTTCGACAGATAATCGAGGATGGTTATTGTCTTCCGTTGACGTTACAGTTCATACAGGACACAGAAGATGTAAAATACATAAACAATGTATGAAAACGTATTTAATATAATATAAAATGTGTTTTCACCGAAGTTAAATATACAAACTAATTTGGGTTTGTTGACAATTGTCCGCAGGTTCTAAATAGGAAACTCAAAAAGATTAATTTTAAAATATGTACCTCACTGACTAATCGTTGTATACCTAAGTATTATTGTTCCTGACCAAGTTAGAATGTAAGAGAAAGAACAATGCCAAACCGACATATATGAAGATGTTATATCTCACACTATAATCAGATATAGGATTTAAATATTCCCACCGAAGCAAACCCACCCATGTAATGAAATTAGATTTTAAACATAATTTCTCAAGCTATCCCGGTTGATACCTTGGAACACATTTTTATAAAATATATGAAACAAACGGGGTCTTGTTTGATGCTTGTTTACATTCAGTAAACGGCTCAGTTGACAACAACATGTTTACCATTGAGTGTTATGTCTAACCATTTATTAAGCCATTCAGTTTAATATTCATTTTGATATATGCTATCAGGTGATATTTTTTTTCAGTAACTGAAAGATCCATCGATTTCAAAACTGTTTTTATTCATATGTAACTATAACTAATTTACATATAATAGTCTTAGTTATTGTGCTTACATTTCACTCAACTTGTCATGTTATAAATAATTGTTAAGATAATAATACAAGCTAATTTAAGGGCAACGAAGAACCGTGGCCTGGTATTTCTTATGTCATTCATATTTTATTTACTATATTCATGTTAAATTTTCACAATAGGTATGTCAACTAGATTAAGTTTAGAAAACTACACCAATATCTGATACACTACATGTTTTAGATGACTCGCCATGAACTCTCAGTTTAAGATCGTTTTAAAAGCCAGTCAAGGAAAACATTATCCCTAATGTTGAATACAGCCTACAACGAGAATAGCCTATTTTAAACATCTACAGTTTTAAGACAACAGGGATAAATAAACTCAGATGTTCCAAAGTCACCGCTGAAGGTGAGTTAGTCAGTGAGTGAGTGAGTTTGGCTTAACGCTGCTTTTAGCAATATTCCAGCAATATCACGGCGGGGGACACCAGAAATGGGCTTCCCACATTCTACCGAATCGAACCCGGGTTTTTGGCGTGACGAGCGAACGCTTTCACCACTAAGCTCCCCGACCGGCCCCACCGCTAAGGGGTAACATGTACACATAGCTACTTGCAGAGTACATTTCAATTTTGTCGTTTCAGTGACAAATATGATGTCCGATGCAATTCCATATTTTGACGTACCATATGAGAACAACTGACTTGCCTTTACATGTGTTTGTGACAGGTGGGACAGTAAACGCTCACCTTTTCACGAACACCTGGAAACCTCACTATTCAATAGTGATTCATAAACTCATCCGCATGATACAGTCGAAATCGTACAATGGGCTGTTTTTTAGCAGAGATTTTTTTAATGATTATGAAAATGTTTTTGTCGCCTTTATTTCTCATCAAAATATGTGAACATATATAAAATCGTTAGATATTAACTTCCGAGTTCAATCTGGAAAAGATTATTGTATGATATATAAATCTATTTTAATAATTTTAGAAATTGAAGCTACATGTAAAGATATATCAAATGATCACCAAAAGTTTTTATTTCAATATTGATATCTTGAGACAATTCAATAATTTTACTCTTTCACAAGCCATGCTATAAAATGCATGCTTAAGTTAAACTTTATGAACACTAAAGATAGTCATTACAAATTTCAATATTCCCTAAGAGAAACATACGTTTTTAAAGTTCCGCTGCATATATTCCCACGAATGAACTCAACTTGAATGTCCTATTCAGTAAATATAAAACGACAACGCCAGAGGTTAACCAGACCCGATTATCCAATGAAGCAGATACCATTGGGTGTTAACGGAAAAGTCAGGGTTCAGTAACGACAGGCGAGTTCAGTTGTCTGAGACGGTGTAAGGGAGGTAACTCAAGCATACTGATTATCAATGCTGAATCAATACTATGAATACATTGTTTACTGCACATATATAGAAATAATTATGTCAAAACAAAAATAGCAAGATTCGTGTCTGTAGAATGAATGAATGCGGAAGTTTAGAGGGATATTAATCAGGCGTAATGTGACAACAGAATGTATCATTGTTAAGCTTGTTGCATGGCATACCAACTGAGTACTGGTATGTTGTGCCTTGAAATAAATAAACAGTAACGCCAACTGAAGCCCGGTACTATGAGACACACGCCGACATTGTTTCTATCTACAGGTTTGCGTACTTACCAATATTCAGCAAACAACGAACACACCTTGAAGCTGTTGATCACAACCAACAATGTCGACATTCGTGTTGGGGTCACGTGGTCTACTTTCGTTTCAGATGAAACGTGTATGGTGTATTTCTCAGAATTTCAACATAGTGCTGCAATGTGAATTTCGACATTGACTAACAAACAGATGGTTATGTTTACTTACTGCAGTAACCCAATCGTCCCCTTTTCGATTTTTAACGTATTTATGCACATACGTCTCAATATATGTATTTCAGTTTCCTAACATACTCAGAATAATAATGTCAGTTTAATATTCATTTTTATCATATAATGGGTAGGTTTCTCGGCAGGATAAAGCCAACGGATAAAAACGATATCCGTTGGGGTCATATGCGGATAGTGATGCAAATATCAATGGTCATGTAGGACAACTTTCACTGTTTACAAACAAACATGGCGTCGCCCTCGTCATTCGGCGATCGAGTCAGAATTAACCATCGGGAATCTGGATAAACTACAGGGATAATTGCTATCATTATCAAAAGAACAGTCTAATATACTGAAAATCAGTGTCTATCTGTGACGTAGCTAAGGCATTTTAAAAGTTTTTGCAACATTGGAGATATAAATTTCGAAACAATTTTGCGAGGGCACGAGGCCTAGCCTAGGTCCGACTTGGCCCGGGCGGTCAAAATCAACTTTAAACACACAGATGTATCATCAAATGGATTCACATCTTTAGATTAGTATTATATCTACCTAAATACCACGTTATTATGTCACGGTACATCGTATTTAAAGAAAACAAGGTGCTCAAAGTCAAGCATTTTTACTGCATTTTCTTAAGAAAATCTATGTCAGAAGTGTTCGGTCCGACATGGCCCGGGCTGTCAAAATCAACTTAAACCTCACAGATGTATCATCAAATGGATTCACATCTTTAGACTAGTATTATATCAACCTAAATACCACTTTATAGTGTCTCCGATCGCTGTACTTAAAGAATACAAGGGGCTCAAAGTGAGCCCTTTTCCCTCTACATTCTCAACATAGGCCTAGCCTAGGTCCGACTTGGCCCGGGCAGTCAAAATCAACTTTAAACACACAGATGTATCTTCAAATATGTTTACATCTATAGATTAGTGTTATATCTACCTATATACCACTCTATAATGTCACGGTACATCGTATTTAAAGAAAACAAGGAACTCAAAGTCAAGCATTTTTACTGTATTTTCTTAAGAAATTCTGTCAGAAGTGTTCGCGTATTTTTGTGCTTAAGTCACTTGGAGATTGTTTAGCTTCATAAACTGTTCATTAGAAACATGTCAGACAGCTTTGACATCATTGATGACTTAGTCTTATGAGATGTGTAAACCTTAGGGGAAATGAGCTCAAGTAAATACAGAAACAGAGGGTCTAAAATTGCCACAGTGTTAGGCCCGAAAGTCTATTTAGGATTTAAATTGTGATTAAGGAAGTAGAGGGTAGAGAGAGAACAAGATAACAAATCTTAACAAAAACTACCTGCCAAACAAGTGCTAGTTCGTTCGTAACCGTCACAAACTGTGTGTGTTCGATGAAGGAAATACAGCCCTTCAGATCTTTGTTTACTGAATACACCTTGACCTATAATTTATAAGATATTGAAGCTACATGTCCGCCCATAGTTTCGAGGAAATGCCCTGGCTACACTTCAAGGTTTCGTGCTCAACAAATATATATGAATGTATATGATATCTCATGTTGATGTACTTTAATAATGCATCTGTACACAAAGCAAGTGCATAGTCTAAACTAGGCTACATTTGCATTTCTTTAGCCGTTTACAGATGCCTCGACAACAGTTTTCACACATGAATGACTTCAACCTTGGCTCTCAACTAGTACAGGTAAACATGGCTATTAATGCCCATGTGTGTCAGGTTGCCCTAACCTCGCCGTCGTATCTGTACACAAAACAAGTGCAAGTCTAAACTAGGCTACATATGCATTTCTTCAGCCGTTTCAATAATGCAGTGCACTGTCACAGCATGCTGCGTAGGTTTATACAGCACAATGTATTTTATTAGTAATTGGTCGATCCTTCATAAATCATATTTTTGCCATTCATTTCACATATGCCTCGGTAGAATTGAGGTAGGGGAAGGACTTCTGGTCAGATGGTTATATCCCATTAGTTAGACGTCCCATTAGTTAGACGTCCCAATTATTAGACATTTTTATTAAGGCAAAGAGGGAATATACCTACAGGTGTAATGGATCAGTCCTAATTAGATAAAAGTACTGCGTAGGGATAGGGGACTCACAGTTGAGGGAGTATATATGTTATAATTTCGTTTAATTAACCTAAATTACCTTACTCTCAGCACAGGTTCAATAGGCATGAGATTAACTATGTAAACTATGGAGTAGCTTAATTGTCTCACTGTATGATCAGTTGAAGGAGTTGAGTTTAGATTATCTACTCATCAAACAAATAAATATGATATTTGGGTACGTATCATTGTCAGTATCGATATGGCTGGTTTAAGGAAAGTAGAGTAAATCACCTCTCGGCGTGGAAGTAAGCAGTTGATATTAGATTGATATATTTACAACAGAAACCGCGAGAGGCAAACGTTACACATTGGAGATGTGTCGTCAAGACTTGCAATGAGAAATGTACGACTGTCGGTGATAAATAAACTGTAACAGTTATTAAATGTAAAGTGTACATTACCAAAAACTGTCACAAAGTGTTGTTACAAATTGTATAAAATTTATCAAATGTAAAGTGCCATTAAATGTTAAGTATAATATTGAAGTATCTATTTAAAGCTGCTTTGCTTTGTTTGTCAGATCTTATCTGGACTATTCCATTTTAAAGGCTGAGGTAACAAGCATAAGGATTAGTGTGCACTCAACCGTTTAAAGTGTTGTTATAAGCTGTCTAACTATTGGAACGTCTAACTAATGGGAGGACACCGGTCAGATAACAAGGTATTCAGATATCGAGAAACTCGTTTTTCCGGACAACATTTTAAAAAAGCAATTGTCCGGATAAGCGAGGTTCGACTGTATAGCGCGTGATACATGACAAAACAGATGTGATAGGACCTGATTCGCACTGGCTGAAGGGATACAATGGACCCTGATCATAATACATTGGTTACTTATTATTATTATTAAACGTATTGTATTGTCCAAAAAGACAAAGGGATTGGGCACAAGTGCAGCACTTATTACAACCTTCTCCCTATATACAGTTATACATAATATTGCATAATGAAAATTAACATTTTACAGTTGAAGCATCACATTGTGGAAACAAAGTGCGCAATAAATATACAGTGCTCATATGAAGGATATGTACAAAGTGCTGGAAAGTGAAGACAGTGTGCATCTCATACATATGCTAATATTATACATGTTAGTGTTGTATATAGATTTAACAATATTAATGATTAACAGTTTGGAAACAATAATATGCAAGCCTACTGAATCTGTTAGTCGTTTCTATAAATTTGTGTACAGACAAGAATATTTTTGTATTCAGGAAAACATCTAAGTTTGGATCACAAAAGTTTTAGTTTCTATTTAGAGTTTTTTGTCCTCCAAGATTATCGATAGCTGTCAGTAATGTCTCCCTAATATCATTATATAAGGTACATTGGAAGAAGAAATAGAATGAATTTTCACAAGGATCTCCGCATTTACAAAAATAGTGTCAGATAATTATCACGAAACAGGTTGGAATTTAGTGTGCTACAATTGTGTCTCAATCTAGTGTGCAATATGTTTGTAGAACCGCAATAATAGTGCATAGGTGGTGGTGTAGGCTGCTCAGATGCGACAGCTTTAAAATAAGATATTGACGGACTATCCCTGATTCCTGATGATAGATTTTTCCATTGGCTTAATGTATCTATAATATAAGACCTTTTAAACGTAGATGTCCGTGCAAATGGAACTACAAAACCATGGCGGTTTCTGAGATTATAACTCACCTTCTGTGACACAGCTGGTGGTACATATGAAGGACATGGCTTATTTATTATTTTATTTTGTTGACGTTTCTTCTATACGCTTATATATATGTATCCACGTCACACACACCTAGAACAAGTACACTTATTTGAATATAACTAATATTACATGAATGTTACTGAGCAGTCAGAGTTTATATTTTTGCGCTTAATCAGCAACATTAAGCCTTTCACGTATATTACAACTTTGTAAGTTAACTTTCCTTTCCAGAAATACCATAGCATGGTGACAGAGATGAACTTCTACACCAAGAGATGTGTCATTGACTAAAATCTGCTGTGTTAATTTGATTTCAAGAGAAAGCCTTCACCTGGAAGGAATTTATATTTGTATTATTTAATTTTTTCTTTTCATATATATCCCTCTGAATTTTGGGTTTTGAAATAGCATGTCGCAGAAATAACTCCTGTTGGACCCTTAGACTTGCAAGAATACGCTTGTGCTTCTTGCTTTGTCAGACCAAACCCATACTGTTGAATTTCACAAAAGCTTTAAAAGGGTTAAAGCTATTTTTGGAAGTATAAATGGGTTGATTGGTGACCACCACAGAAGTAGCAAATGGAGTTATGTCCGATGAAATTCTCTATATATTTTGACTTGTGCTGATCGTTTCCGTGTTTTTCGGGTTTAACAACTAACTTGCCTTTGCGTGTGTTTGTTCCACCGGTGGTGCAGGATACGCTCACCTCTATGCAAACACCTGTTATCCTCACTGTTTGATAGTAGTTTATACACGTTAGTATGTATAAAGGTATGTCATCTTAATATATCACTTCTGTTATCCCTCTTTTTGGGGTGTACTACATACATAAATCAAAGTTTCTTTTGAGCTATCATGAATATGATAAAATAGTTAGCAAGTCTATGCTTATCATTCCCTCTACTCCTACCAAAGGCTCTAATTGTGGCTAATTGTTACATATTCTTCACGAATACTGTAAATCATGAAACGTGTAACCAAATTAATGCGAGTTTAGACCGCTGGCTAGACTAACATCGAGTTTCTGAAATGAACATATTTTACAAAAATAAAAACAATTGTTTGATTATATTGATAAAATATATAACTGCAGTAATCTAGTCTTGCCAAATATGATTGACTTGCATCGGTTGTATTGGACTTATTTGTTTCA